TGTGCAGGGCGGCAGCGAGCTGCAGGGCTGACTCACCCGCGCTGATGAAATCACGGCTATTGTTCTTTGCAGACCGTCCCCGTCCGGCCCAGCGCCACCAGCTGCCCTCACAATGGCCAGCTCGGGTGCGCAGCTACAGAGATGAGTCTGCTGCCGCACATCCCTCTCGTTCGCACCTCCGCCAGGTGAGTGTGGGAAGCTGCTAATGCAGAACGAGCTACACGCCCACTCAGCTCTGATGGAAGTGACTCTCGAAGGGCCAGAGCAAAGGGCAGTTTCTCAAACCCTTAGTGCTCGTAGCAATTGATTTTTTTTCTCCATAAATTTTGATGAGAGGAAAAAACCCAACCAAATAAAAACATTTAACATGTTGGTGCAATCTAATTCTAATTCAGCATTTTGCAACCAAACCTTCGGTGTGCTGCAAAAAAACATCAACACCACCCCTCCTCAACCCTAACAAAACCCACACCACCAACAACAAAATGCTGGCAGAAAGCATTCAGTCACAAGGAGGGGCATCAAGTGTTGATTTTTGCTGTTTGTTATTACCTGTTAGCACTGCAGCAGTACTCATCTTGGAATTTGATCAGGAAAAGGGACTGGCTAGTCCAACAAGGAAATTATGACACATTCAGTACAGCACAGACATAGATACATTGCAAATGACCTCTAGATCAAGAGAGAAGGTATCTCATATTTTTCGCGGGTTTTCATTTTTCTTTTCCTTTTCTGTGGCTGGATATAGAAGCACGGAATTTGTAGATGTGCATAAATCATAGACGGCACTGAAAGGTTTCAGAAGCACCACTTAAACAGAGACTCAAACTTCAGTCATTATATCAGGACACTGTCACCATTTTATAGCTTGAAGTGCACAGCAGTAGATGCACGTCCTAAACTGCTTTCCCCCACCCCGTATTTACTCCTGTTTTTGTTTTTGACAAACAAACTCGCTGTATCTTTCACAAATTCTGGTGGAAATGAGCCAGCTTGGACTAGCGGGGAGAAGCCACAAGATACCTAGGGATCTTTTAATTTGTTTGCTTCTTCTTCCTCCCTTTGTTGCCTGAGCTAATTTTATTTCTGCATGTCTACAAGGATTCCTGCATGCCTACCATTTGTGAAATTTTGCATTTTCATTTTGGCAGGCTGGACATGGGCCAAGCACCTCTCACTTGCACAATGGTAGCAGACAATGTGCTTTGAATTTTCTCTGCATGCAAAGGTCAGTGACCTTTCCTCATTCACTTGCCTGTTTCTCTGCTACTCTGTGGCTCACAGATAAGTCATTGGCTGTTTTCTGCTGGCAGTTCTGCTTATATAAGAAACTTCTTTTGCGTTTGATATGAATTAAGGCTCATGAGTTCTGTCACATGAAAGTTGCCTCTAAAAAATTAGAGAAATTGGCAATGCTCTGCCCTCTTCTTCAGGGCTGTTAAAAGTTTTATCATGCACTCAGTTCATGGTTCCCCATGAAATGCAAAGTTTTCAGTAGCAAGGACAGGCTGGGTGTCAGAAGCTCTTTAGTCCATGCCTATGTTTTAGCCAGTAAATGGAACTGCCTGGATCACCCAGGGAACACAAATGGTTTTGACTGACCTCTATGGGGTTTCATTTGAAAGCACCTGAGCCAATTGCTTTGAGCAAATATTTGAAATGAGGTGTCTGCAGAGCACTTTCTCTCAGCACAGAGGCACAAGCTGGGCCATGGGCCCAGGAGGGGCACATACAGGCAGCAAGGGGATGGGCTGCAGCTGCAAGGAGGTGCATGGAGGCTTCTGGGGCTGCACTGGGCAGGGATGGGCAGCATTGCCAAATACTTCTCACACTTAGTGTGGTGTAACCCAGGCTCCCTGGCAAAGAGCTGCAAAAGCAGAACAAGAGACTGAGCAGAGCCCTAGACCAGGTGGCCACCATCCTGTCCCACCAGACATCCTTGTTGTCCCTGTGATGTGACATTAACGTTTCTAAAGACCTGCTACTTCCCACTTCGGGTAGAGATCACCCTTCACCCCGCTGCTGGACCACACCTGCTGTGGCATTGCTCCCGCAGTGCAGAATGTCCCAGCTGATGCCACGCTGCTGTTCAAGGCTGTTCAAGCCATGTAGTCCTGGTTGCTGGATCTTTTGCTTCTGACATCCTTGGTTACTCTCCACAGGGGCTGAAGGCAAAAGGGCCTTTCAAGAGCCTGTAGCTTTGGGATCCTCTTGGAGAGGAAGGATGAGAGGTGCCGCTCCGTAGAAAAAATCATAAACAGGTGGCTATTGTGAAAAGCTTGAAATTTCCTGCACAGCCCACGGAAACATCCATTTAAAAAACAACAACCACCACCCATGAACTTGTTTTCCTGGCACAAGAGACTGGCATAGCAGCCTGAGCAGGTGCTGACTTTGTGGGGCAGCCCTGAAGATCATCATCTCCCTGATGCTCTTACCTGTGAGCAGTCCAATGGGAACCAGCCCTGATCCCGTGGTTTCTGCAGCATGATCCAGTGAGCACAGCTGCTACAGCAAACATGTACATCAATGCAGAGAGACCTCTCTTTCGTGGCACAGAAAACTGCCTGCACATCTTTCACATGAAAGGAAATTTCCATTTACTTTTTTTAGCTCAGCCTTATTAATCACAGAGACATTTCCAAGCAAAATATGGATTTGCAGCAGAACATAGGCAAAAAAGTTCATTCAGACAGGAGAAAGCACAGCTCAGCTGTGCCCATCAATCCTATTTTACCACGTACATGTCCAGCTTCCTCTTTTTCATTTGTTATGATGTTTGCCTTCCCACATACTTTTCCTACTTTTATCTCAGTTTACATTCTGTTTTCTCATGAACTGTCTTTCTTGCTTAAGAAAAATAAGAAACAAAATACTCTTTTGGTTTTTCTCTTTATCCCTTCCCATTTTGGTTTCACAGTGGACTCTCTTGGGATTTGTTCCAGAGGTTTGGTTCCTTCCAAAGCGTTGGTAAACATCAGGTGAGCTGAGTGCAGCACTGTCACCTTAAGGCTCCAGTCCTAGGTTGCTAATATGTGCTTCTTGCATGGGTAGTAGACTCTGAGGTGTAAGTGAATCACCATAATATTAATAAAGATTGTGCTACAATTAAAACCTGTTGGAAGGAAGAGCAGGAAGGTTGGCAGGGTACATGGTTAGAGGAGAGGAGTGTCTCTCTCTTTCCTTATTAAGTGGCCTGACCTACAAGAGAGAGAGAGAGTTTCATGGGCAGAAAATGGCATGGGGCACAGAAAACATCTCCATCCTCCAAAATTCACTGCTTTGTCTGCACCTCCCCTTGTATCCGGAGTCTCCACTGCCTCGGGAATAGCCACCATCCTTAGCACTGCTGTTTTGCTGGGAGAAAAATGACTTTAACTGTGGGAGGGTACAAAAATACAGGCTGACACCCCCCAGCTCCTGCCATGTGCAGTAAATGCAGCAGCACTGCAAGGCCAAAAGCAGAGGCAAGAGAGACTGGGCATGGCAGCCCCGAGCTTGGCCCCTCCACAGGGCAGCAGAGCAAGGCACTGGTGGAGCTATCACAGATGCTGTGAGGCTGTCATCTCCTGATAATTTTGCTGTCATTAGGTGCTGCTCATCATGAGAAATCCTGATTTTACTGTGGTTCTGGTATGCTGTCCATAATTAGCGTGCAGTCCTTTAATACTAATTACCTTAGGTATTAGTTCCTTAAACATCAATTAAAAAAATCATGTGAAAATTTACCTCTTCCTCAAATGAATCATGAGTTAACATGGGGGTACTTACAATGCACTACTTAGACTTGCCTAATTAGTTAATCTCTGTAAAGGGGTTTCAAATGCATGAAGAGCTATCAAACTGCTAAGTGCATTATCTTCAATTAATTTTGTGCAACTACATCTTCACTACCAAGAGGGTCTTTAGGGTGCTGAGGAAAGGAAAAGGAGACATTGCTTCTAATTTTAAAAGTAACTAATACAGAAAAAAAGGAATTAATTGAAAGATGATTTTCATGATGGGAGTAATTGTGAATGCAGCTTTTGTTTCAGCAAGAGCTGAATATGAAAGATTCATAATTTTTATCCCTCCTTTGCCTTTGTTAGTCTCTGGTTTCTTGGTTCCATCTCCTCCTGGCCTTAATACTCTCCCTCTCTCTCTCTCACTGAGTATCAACCCTTTCTCTTCCAAGTTTATTACTACCTCAGCAGAAAACCAACCAGCATACAAAAAGGTTAAAAAAAGGGCAAATCACACCAAAACACTCTTCAAACTGGAGTCACTGAGATTACACCCTCATACAAATGGTAAGAGATTGTGTTCCAAAAGTAGCCTCATGGACTTCCCTTCAGAAGCAGACACTAAAGGGCCAGAACAGAGCTCCTGCAAGAGCACAGGGCCACGTGCAGCCAGGGCAGTCATATTCCCTGGGCCACCGTGGCAGCCAGGAAGTTTTTAATGTGTCTTTCAAAGTTTTCTGTTCTCTTCAGAGCTGATATGCCTTGTTAAATATTCTCATTTTACTTCACCCATTAACAATCTGCTTTTGGTGGAGTTCTCTCAAAACGGGTTCTTTGTGCTAATACTGTGTCTAGCTGGCAGCTTTATTCAGGCTAGCTACATTGAATTGGACTTCACCAAGAACCAGTTTCCTGGGTTCTTTTTCTTCCACTGAGACTAACAAAAGAGTTGTTTTTTTCTTTTTTTTTCTTTTTCTTGTTGCTGAGCCTGATTTATGTTTAGAGGTTTTCACTTGCCTGTTCTTTCTTTTTCAGTAATGATTAATCATCACTTCTCCTTGCTGACTGCTGAGGTCCCACATGTTGTGAAAAATTCAGGCAGCTCGTTTAACAGCAACATGCCTGAGCAGTGGTTATGCAGCAGAATCCCCTTCACAGAGTATGTGAAGGGGACAGGTAATGTGCATTTGCAATAAATTTCTATCACTCAACAGTTATTTGAAAAACTATTAATTTACCATGTTTTATCCAAAAGAAACTGGAACAGAGAACAGACTATTTGATGGCTACAGCTTTATTCTCTGCATACTGTAAAAGAACAGCTTAACCTCCTGGATGAGACATTTCTCTAGTAAGCCAGAATTGTGTACTTGGTGATGCTCAACACAGCAAGTTCTCAGGGAAAGAACTTCTGCCACCAAACCAGAGAAACCCCTCCAATCCTTCCCCAGTTCAGTTCTACAAAAAGAACCAGTGAGGAATATTAATTGCAATCCAATCCAGTGGATACTCATTTAGGTGAAGGGCCTGATCTGCTCTAATCAGTCCATCTAGCTGAAGTGTAGGTACCTAAAAGAGCAGCTTGAAAATGGGTAAGTTGTTACAGGGTGCAGAAAGAAGAGCAGGCCTATGAGAAGAAACAAAGAAAGCTTCTTGCCCTCCCATACCTTCACCACTTGTATGTTTGTACAAAAGCTTACAGGATTCCTTCCCTTCATCTGCTATATCCATACAGTCCATACAGACAGTAAGAAATGGGTAAGCCAGAAACTATTAAGAAAAGTCTAGATTGCCTCAACCTAAAGCCCCTTCACTTTCCTTCCCACACTGAAGGGTTAATGTACTTGCCAAGGATCATTTAATTCATTCCTGCCTCGGAAAGAAAGGTGGAATGGAGCCTGAAGAGACTATGACTGCTACCAAATCCAAAATTAAGGGATAGGGCTACCTGAATATTGAACCTGAAGCCTGACTTTCCTGAAGGGCATTTCTACAGAATAAACCTAATTGCAGGAGCTTGTCAACAGTTAGCCAAAGAGGTGACAGGGAGGATCCAGAAAAGTCTCAATGGATAGTCCAAGATTTTTGCTCCCCCTCCTTCACGACTGTGAAAAATAGGGGGGAAAAATTCTTTTTCAAAAGGTTCTCTTTCATCCCAACATTTCAAAAGATCAACTGCCAATAAATTAAGACAAAACAATAAACAATGTATGTCCTGGTGGCAAGGGAAGATGCACTCCTTCTCAGTCCCTGTCAGGTCAGAGGAGCAGCTCCAGCACAGCCCTCTGGGCCACACTGTGCCCTCACAGCAGCACTGGTGTGACATAGTTGGCAGGGAAGAGACCCAGCTCCCCACGCAGGCGTCCTTTCCACCAGGAGGGGTTGGAGCTGTCCAGGACCTCCACGATGTCCCCACTGCGGAATCCCAGCTCGTCGTGCTCCATGGCATCGAAGTCGTACAAGGCACGGACCCACAGCGTGCGCTGCAAAGGACACAAGAGACAGGCAGGGAACAAGGAGCCAGGACTTGTAAAGGTCATCCTCCTGTCACCTCTCTTAAGACCCAGTAAATGCATTCACTAAGCAAGGACAAGCAGTGCTGGATTTTAAACCAACTTGCAATTAAGCCAGGAAGTGGCCAATATGCCAGGAAGGAGGGACCAATTTACTGGGACACTTAAGGGATGGTGTTTGGTTTCTCAGCAGCCTCAGTGTATTTGTGGATATTTGCATCATGAGGTGACAAGTCAGACAGAGCAGGTCCTTAGGAAATGGTGTTCTCATGGCTCTGCTGCCTCTGCCCTGTAAGGCCAGCCAGGACTGCCACGTCTGAAGCCAGTTATGGGAGCACAGGACTCCTGCCTGAGACCTGCTGGGATAGAACTATTAGGGAATGGCTCTAGGGAGGTGGCCTGGTGCTGGTGCAGATATCAAAATGTGTCCTTGGCCAGTTGAGGACTGAGACAGCCAACACATAGGTGAGAGTAGAGAACATTGTAAAGAAGGATAAAGAAGGATACTTGCTCTTTCAGACATTTTTGGGGCATAGGGGAGGGTCTTAAACCTTCTTCAGACTCACCCCAAGGTCAGGCCCCTGAGATCTGAAGGATTCTGTTTGGGTATATAGGTTTATTTTGGGGTGTGCACTTTAATGTGCACTATGGTTTGATTTTTTTTTTTTTTAAGACTTAGCAGTCAATCTCCCACTTTGGGCAGAAATCATATTTTAAAGGACATTGCTTGGGCTTCTTTCTGGGAAATTGTTGGCATCCACACCACAGGGCATGGATAATTTAGGAGGTATATCTGGCAGGGACAGATGGAGAGATCTGTTTGAAGACATACTAACTTTTGATAAATCTTCCATTCAGGGCCCAGCTTAGTACTGGCCCCTAGTTATTTGGTTGGACATATAGACCTTCCTATAATTGGATTTGTGGCTTCTACATCACTGATAGGATGTGGCAGGCAAAATTATGTTGTTATTCATTGCCACTGCCTCTAAGAGATAAAAACAATGTATTTTAAGATGGATTACAATAAAGATTCGGGGTTTTTGTAAAAAAAAAAAGGGCATGCCCCTATTTTTTAACATGTTCCAAATCTCCTAATCCAATCTGTTCTTTTTCACTCACATTTGAGAAAGGTCTGCTGTCCTTCCCTTCTCTCCTTAGATCTAGGTTCTCTGGTTGTGGGCTAAGCTGGACATTTCCTCAAGGAAGAGAAGCATGCCTTAGGTCACACTGAGCTGATGGGGAAATACTTTGTAGCTGGCAGTGTAATCACAGGCTGAGGCACAGAAAGACAGCACATCCTATGTGGGCATTCATATAGTGGGAATTTACAGAGCAGGTAGTGACTGAAGGTCAAGTGCCAGGTATGGATGCAGTAGGGGAGTGGTCTGGGGTGTCTGCAGAGACACATCTGGATCACACCCACATCCCAAGTGCTAAGAGGCTCTGACAGCCAAGGGTGTCAGGTAGGCGAGTCCCTCTCTGACAGCAAAGGAGGTCTGAGAGATGTGCCAGGCACAGACAAGTAGGGCTGGGTGATCTCAGGCCTTCTCAGGACTGCAGCAAAAATTAAGGGAAGAGACAATGTGAATATGAGTGCACTGAAAGACGAGGAGCACTGTAGTGTGGTACAGTATTATGAGGCTGCTGTCCATAGAACTTAAAAAATGTAGTGCACATTTAGTTACTGACATCAGTCACTGCTTGGCTTTGGGGGCAAAGATACTTGAAAGCCCTGTGCATTAATGGACGTGAAGTTCTCCTAGAAGAGACCATTAGTCTTTCAGAAATGTCCTCTGCTGGACTGGACTCATGCTTGATCAAAGTCCATGGGTGAGCTTGTGCTCATTCCAATGTCCCAGATGCCTGTTTTGCTGAGCTCATGCTAAGTTCCCTCTTCCACTGAGGCTGCATAAGGCTGACCTTGAGAGCAGTTACCAGAACTATGCTCACACAACACTGTAGTCCTACTCTCAGAGTGCCCCACAAGCAGATTTAAGTGGCTGGGATAGAGTCTTGAGACTCAAAAATGTCTTGTAAGACATAGCCTGGCAGGCAAAATACACCACTTCTCATGCAACCTCCACGTAGGTGACATTGTCCAGACTGCTTGGCCATTGCTAAGGGACCCACTGACTTGGGCAGAGGAGGCTTCCAGGTGCATCACCTACTGGTGTCTGCTGGTGTGGTGGGTCTGTGTGTCTCCGTTGCATAGCTCCTGCACTTCCTTGGCCGTAATCCCTTAGTCTATGCATCACATCTTTCCTGTCCAGACTCCCACCATGTCTTTCCTAGAAAGAAAACAGCAGCAGAAAAGTCACGTTGTTGTGATTTTGGCTGGAATAGAGTTAATTTTCTTTATAGTAGCTGGTACAGTGCTGTATTTTGGATTTAGTATGTGAATTCTGCTGATAATACACTAATGTTTCAGTTGTTGCTAAGTAGTGGCTCACTCTAAATCAAGGATTTTTCAGTGTCTGGCCAAAGGGATATTCCATACTCTAGAACATCATACCCAGTATATAAACCAGAGGGAATTGGCTAGAAGAGGCCAATAACTGGTCAGGGACTGGCATCAGTCAGTGGGTGATGAGCAATTGTATTGTGCCTCACTTCCTTTTCTTGAGTTTTATTCCTCTCTCTCTTTTTGTTATTTCCTTTTAAATAAATAGCAAATAATCACCATAATAATGACTATTAATACTACTACTACTACTATTTACTCTATTTCAATTATAAATCTGTTCTTATCTCAATCCACGAGTTTTATGTTTTTCCTGATTCTTTCCCTACTCCCACCAGCAGGAAGAGGAGTGACTGAATGGCTGCATGGTACTTAGTTGCCAGCTGAGATTAAACCATGACATATATATTCTTAGATGCATAAATGAAGGGACTTAAGAGTTATTAGTGGGCAAGGAGTCAGGGGCAAGCCCCCCCATAATAATTTTAGATGTCTGCTTCCTATAAAGTCCCTGTGCTTCAGTTCTGCAAGTAATGACCCTCATAGAAAAGGTCAGCTTAGACTATTCTATTTTGGGTTTTACTTCTTAGGAGTTGAAAGTTGACTGTCCTCAGCTGTATTTCACAGCTGCTGGGACAAATGGTCACAGAGGGGCTTTTTTTTTGTGTCTGAGACTTTTGGAGAAAAACTAAGGTTGTTCTAACTCACAGATAATAAGTCATGCTTTCCAAGGGGACTTCAGCCAATGTGGAGTTATTATGACCCAATCCTGCCCACTCCTTCCTTTTCCTCTGTCCCATATGCTGGGGGAACATCAGTGATGCTGATGCAGCTGACTGTATCTGAGAACTCACTGCTTTACCTTTTCTTTGGCTGCTCCATAGTGTAAAGGACAGCAAGCAGGCCTATAAATCTAGTAGCCAAATTAGCCAAAGAAGAATGAGACAAAATCAAATTCAAAGGCAAGTAGCCATATGACCACATATCTAAGTCATATCAACACAAATTGGCCCAGGCAGACGGAGAGAAGAAGTAGGAAACATCTAGGAAGCAAGTTCTCTTTTGTGTGCACAGCTGAGAGATGCAGAATTTTGACAAAGTGACTGTTCACACACTACCAAGCAATAAAAGCCAATGTTTCGTATGCCCGGGCTTGATGTCCCAGGCCCTTGTTCCTGGTAGTACCTGTTGCTGCTGCAGTATGGGAACAGGATGCTCTACATATTTCTTGGATATAGAAGAATGATCTTCTCCAGCTGCTCCTGCCATGTGGAATCCTTCCCGACCTATCCGTTCCAGGCTCCCACCCCGCCTCTCCTGATGGAAAAAAGATCCCAAAAGTGAAGTCAGGTTTTGCTTCCTACCACATCCTTGACTAAAGCTCTGCAATCATTGCACACTGAGCACTACCACTACCCACTGCTCTGGAGGCTCTTTCAAATAAAAGACTCTGCTTCTCTGAAGAGAAGAACAAACCAAGAATCCTGTATTTTACTTCTTTGTCATTGCCACTCTCCAGTAGCAGGTAGTACTGGGAGGTGCTGGGCTGAAAACATGGCTACTGATGTGAGGATCAGCACAGGAGCCAAGCTCTTTCTTGAAGTAATGACCTTAGGCTTCATTTGTCTCTGCACTGAAATCTATATTACAATCATTTTATCATATGGCTGTAGCATCTAAAAATTTGAATTGTGAAGAGAAACCCCACTGTGATGACTGCTAAACATACCCCGCTGTGCCCATCACCATAACAAATGTGCAGAGAGTTTGCCAAAGCAAACTTGAGTTCTGTACTTTCATTTGCCTGTCTGCATCTTGGAGCAAATGTCTCTCTTTCCCTTCCTGCTCACAGTCAGCCCAAACAGGTTGTTATACTGATACATGCATACAGTCTTTCTTTTCCCAAACACAGAGATTCATCACTGTGATCTCGCTCTTACAGATCCCAGAGCCTCTATTTTAATACCTTACTAGTGCATTTTTAAAGCTCTGTATAAACGGTCTAGAAAGAGACAACAACCCAGGTCTGTTCTTCAGATTGGAAAATGTATCATCTCTCATTTTGAGACAGCAAGAACGACCCACATGCAGCCTATAAAACTTTATTGCTGTAGTCAACAGGTCACATACTTTCTGCCTTGCCTCTACTTGCACATGCTGGCAATTTAATACCAGAGTCCATTTCCCAGTAAAGCAGGACTTTGCTTGCTGCAGTGACCAGGCATGTTCACTCCCAGTACAGGGAGTGCAATGTGCAGCAGCCTCTGCTATGTCATTTGCTCGTTTCTCTGGCACAAAACCAGGCACTCATTGGACTGGGATTTCTCTGCCTTCTCAAACATCGACTATACCTTCCCTGAAGGCACATCTTCTTGATCTGCTATGTTGTTCTCAGTAGTACTTTCCAGTTCCTAACAGCCAGGTTAACTGCTCCAGGTTCTGCCCTCCGTTCCTCCACATTCCTTTTACTGTGTTTGCTCAGTAGCAGAAGATGGACAATTCCTCTGAGCAGACAAACCTGCAGTTGTAGTTGCACTCTGGGTGCGTGCAATGACACTAAGAAACCAGACTCAAATTCTTCTCAGTCACAACCCACCAGTCAGCTCTGTACCTGCCCTTAGGAAATCTAGGCATTTCAATAAGGTAAGTCCTGCTTCCCTTGGCATCTTAGAATTTCAGCTCAGAGGTCTTAGCACAGCTTTAGCAAAGCACCTCTATTCAGATTTGAAGAATCAAACAATTCTGCTCAATTATACAACTCTACATACCACTGAATCCACTAAAAATCTGGGTCTCAGCCCCCACCAGTGTAGTGATGTGGCTGGGTTTCCAGGGACAGACTGTTCTCCTCCCCATCCTGAGACATTCTCATGGGATTAACTCCTTCCACAGAAAGGTTTCTGACTGAGAAACTCCTAAAGACAGTTTGTGTTTACCTGTTCTTCTTGGCTGTTGTCCCTTAGGAAGATCTGCTTCTGCCTGGAGATGGAAGTTGTCTTGTAGTAGTCCACCAGCTTGTTTAGCGAGTGGAATTTCTCTGTCCACAAGTAATAGCTACCCTTTGAATCCCTCATCACTTTGAAGTGTTGCACATCATCTTCATGCCTGGATCCCAAAGGAAAAGACATCATCAAACACCAAACATGCATTTCTACCTTTTTTGAAAAAGTCTTTTCCAGAAGGGTACCAAAACTTCTTGCTTGGCCAAATCTAGACTTCTGGAAAGTCATGCAATGGAAGTCCTTGTGCATACTGGGCCCAGACGTGGCTCTATTTCAAAAGACTCGTTGACTTGCAAACGCTGAGTGCCCCAGGGCTGCCCAGTCACAAAGCACTACCAGAACAAAGCATAGGGTTTAAAATCCTCTCTTTTGAAATAAAGGTCACAGGAGCTTCCAGGGTGAAAAAGTGCAGTTGTAGTCTACACAACAGCCTCTGCAGGTCCTGTTAACATCCAGTTTGTATTGGCTATAAGACCTGTCTTACACCTTTACACCATGGGGATCACCATGACATGCAGACGGAGCCATGTGAAGCCATATACTAAGCTTTAAAATGGTATAAAATCTAGTGTAACAACATTACTACAGGTCATTCTCCCTATCAAAAAAAGAAGAAAAAAAAGGAATTTTCTGATGCTGTTACAAGCCAAATTAACAATCTCAACCTTTTGCCCCTTATTCCCCCTGCACCTCCCCTCCTCTCACCTCTTGTGTGATGTGTACAATTCCTCTTTGCACCAGATGTGATCTGGTTTTGGTGCCCACCTCCTTGCTCTCAGGGCACTCACCTCCAGGCACTCAAAACACTCAGGGGCTACATCTGCACAAATAACTAAATGGAGACAGGCAGGGACTGAATGCTATCCTTGACTGTTACAGTCCCAAGCTGTTGAAGTGTTAGCACGGTTGTGGTTTAAATAGTAAAGCTCTCCCTTAAATAGTGCTGGGCCATGGTTAGAAAGAACAGGCCGGGAACTGCTCACAGGGAGCTGCTTGAATACAGATCTTCTGTTTGGTGGGGTGAAGAGGGTGTAGCCATACAGACCTGACCTCTGCCACACTGCCTGACTTCAGGGCCAGAGAAAGAGCCTGGCTGTACTTGATTTGTGGGTGTTAATTGGTGCAAATGTAACCAGAATGTTTTCCTGCGTTCCTCCTGGATACTTTTTGAGCTGCCTGATCAGCAAGTACATACCACTTGGAAAAGACATTGTTAATCATGACTCTAACTTAAAACTGGTTATCAACTATTTGACTGAAAACTGGGAAACCAAACATCATTTAAGAGCTCTGCTTAGAAGCAAATCCACTGAGAAGTGCTGGGCTACAGCAAGTTGCTGAAATGCAGCTGGGCTGCAAGCAATGAAAAACCTTTCCTCGTCCAATGGCTGTTCAGTGACCTGTGGGAAATAAGTTAACAATGCAATAATAATTTTTTAATAGGTAGTAGTTGAATTCTTGGATTCAGCAACCAGAGCTCTCAGGGAATTAAAACAAATGGAAGACACATGTTAAGTACTGTGGGAGATTTTCCCTGTAATACTCTGCTTTGCTGTAGCTCTTTCAGAGAAGGAGGTCACCAGGGGACGTAGCTTTGGAATGGGGCATTCACTGTGCCACTTGAAAAGAAGCAGAAACATTTGGGAATCAGATGCCTAACTTGTTCTCATTCACAACACAGCAGCACTACCAGCGACTGGCAGCATGCAAACTTCTCAAGAGTCTACATCACATGAGGAGTCCTTATGAGAGGAGGCTAGGGACTCCATTAAACAGGAAAAGAAGCAGGAATATGCTGTGATAAGCAGATACCTGACAGAGATGGAAAAGTCACCATGAGAGTTCTGACTGGCCCGGACGATGAAGCAGCCAACTCCTTTGCTCATGAGAAGGTTCTCTGCTTCATGGCGGGATATCTTCTCATCAAACCAGCTGCCAAGTGGGAAAAATCATGGGCATTGTGAATTAAGGTGAGGAATTAAAAAAAATGAGGGTAGGGAGAATGTGAATAAGCAGGGTGGAGGGATGAAAACAAAAGGATCAGAGGAGCCCACATGACTACTCCCAGTGGCCATGTATATGCTGAGGTACAGGGTTTGATAGATGCAGACCATTTTCCTTGAGTAGTAAAAGCATGTACATGCAAAGAGAACAATGTAAGCTTTAGTCTGCTAAGAAGCAACACTCAGCTGAAACTCTAATTACAGTACAATAAGGTTAGTCAAAGAAATTTTAAATTACAAATGTATATGTATACATATATACATACATAATTCTCAGGCATATAGATCAAATTGCTTTTTGGCAAATTGATTAAAAATTACTGGGCTGTGATGGATATATTGCATGGAACACACATAAATTTTTAGCAGAAGAAAGCCATGAAAGTTTTAGTACTAATAAATTGGTTCCTGCAAGAGTTACAATACCACAAAATTTCAGAAGCACAAAATATATAAGCACACTTACACAAATTTAGCCAGGCATAACAAACAACAGCATAAGGCACTGGACTAATAATGAGAAAGTCACCATAAATAGTAAAAGAGTAAGATGTCAGTAGAAATTTTTCAGTAGAGGAACAAAAAAATCGCATACATTTGCATATGTCTACTCCATAGCTAATAAGATCTACAATCTGCAGTCTTTGACTTTACCTAATACTTAATTGCCTGTATTGCATTAAAATTAAGGACTGTTAATTTCCTAACATCTGTCATTTCCACTTTGGAGTTCCTTATTATCATCACAGTCTACCTATGTACCATTAGCAAAGAAAAATCAGACTTTGATGAGCCTTGATAACCAGTCTCAGTGATTACTTAACAAGAAAAAGATGGGCAAAAACAATCCATCAAAAATAGGAGGCAGCTTTCTTCCCTGTGTCTCGTTCTGTCTTCTGGCCTGAACTGCTTCAAAGGGCAGACCTGGTGCTTACAAAAGTGTCGAAGTGGAAATATTTCTTCACAGCTCTTGCACAGAGAAAGCAACACGAGAAAAACGTGTGTGAAAAAAGAAGCTGCCAATGCTCCTGAGTGATGGCACAGCTCTGTGAAAGAGTGAACATGAACAACTGACTGGAAGATCTCATCCCCCTGAGGTCCAAAAGTACGAGACCATATTTGAACAGCAAACTAATAGTGTCCTTCAGCTCAGCCAAGCAGGTTGGCTTATGTCCAAAAAGGCCAGTAAGTGCTACCTCCAAAAGGGACAGAGGCACTTATTTGTAACCTCAAAATCGCTGTGTGCTCCCAGTATGACTGCTCAGGGCACCAGTGCATTACAGCCACTGCACTTGGTGCAAGCTCTGCTTGCTCACTCTTGAAATGCTGCAGCACTTGTGAAAAAACAGGACAATGAGAGGCGCTCCTGGGAGTATTTCTGCTGACTGAAAGGTTGTAAAAAATCCCATACACTGTCATATTGATGGCATAGGGCTGGAGAGCACATTTAACATGCATTCCAACACGCATCAGTCTTTTCTGGAAGTGCAGCTCCATCTCCTGCGGGGGAGGAGAGAAATGCAGGTGCGCCTGTCCTCTGTCAGATCTGTCTGTGTGTGTGAGAGCAGGGCGCTGTGTCTGGTCTGTGAACTGTGCCGATCCAGGGTAACAGCAGCTGTCACACTCGTGCAGCATTGCACTGACCTCTAGTGCACCGACAGACACTCACCAGCCTTGGCACGGGGAGGGAATGCCGTGCCAGCGTGGGAAAAGGGACTCAGTGTCTGTAAGAGTCCAAGGGGGAGGAAATTTTTTTATAATTCGTTTTCAGAAAGATACCTTGCTCTTCCTTTTGTGCTTAGCCTCTGTCTCTGCTCCCAAGACTTCACATCATGACTATTCTCCTCTCTAAGGACATCTAAATGCAATTCTTGCACATCCCAGCAGTAACAAAAGAGTCACTTGGGACTGACAGTGATCATCGAGATTCACTTAGCTCCGAAAGAACAGAGGATGCTTTGGGGTAGAAATATACTGTGCTGGCAGAAGTGTGTGTAGCATTATGGCAATCCTTGCCAGCCCCAAACTGTAGGATGTTATGTCCAGCACTTCCCCTGTCCTGTCGTCTGCACGTGCATGTAAACGTGCTCCTGGCAGCACTCGGTGGAAATGTGCCATGGTGGTGACACCGTTTCTGTCACACTTACGGGGGAACGTGGAAATCAATGAAGTTCTTAGGAACGTAGCCCTCGTGACTTCTGAGCTCAGCCTTGTACCACTCTTCCTGGGAGCTCAAAATCTGCAATGGAGAAATGGATAGAATAAAGGCACCTCCTGAGAAAGGCAAAAGTAACAAGACTCGGGCAGAAACCTAGAATGTCTTTTAAGAATGAAAGAAAATGATTAACATTCTCTACTCCCCACCCACGGTGCAACAAGGTTAGTGGCTGATGACCACTTCAGAGTAAGCAAGCAACAAAAAATCCTGAGTGGAATCAGAGAGTTTTCTTGTTAACTTTACTCCTTTGTCTGACCCCCTGTCCTTTTATCTCTGGTGCCTGTGAAATGGAGAAATACAGCTTTGAAAGACTTAATAGGGGTTTAAGTTATTCTTTGTGCTGCCTTTTATAGCTGGTACTGGAGCATCTCAGATTCACAAGGGAAGAAGAAGATATCAGTGAAAACTCCTCTAACATATGGCTATGAAGGGATATGCAGCTGTATCTGTGTGCCCTACGACTGCACAGATGTTACCATGTGCTCTCACCTGTCATTTCACAAGAGATTCTTTAGTGGGTTAAGTCTTCAGCTGTCCTGAGCTTTGCCAAGGTAGATAAAAGAAGGAGACAAAAAGTATTTTCAAGACACTATTATACTTAGGAGATTGTAGGATAGCTGGAAGTGAGTCCACATCACGCACTGGAGCAGCTTCAAGTGTGCTCACATTAACTGTAATGGTCCTTAGAAACATCACTGCCAACCGGGGAGGGCCCAAATTCATGACACCCTGGCTGCTGGCCCACGATGCAGCCCTAAGCTAGAGGAGAGAGGACAGGACTACAACACATTGGGATTTTACTGCAAATGTTGTGGTCCTTGGTGTTTTGTTTGACATTGCAACCCCGGGACAGGAGTCTGCTGTATGAAATAGATCATGTTTCCGCTCTTTCTGGTTTTGGAGGGGAGTCTAAAAGCATGAGCCATGACACTTTTAGAAGGAAAAAGCAAGCGGAAAAGACCTAATTTAAAATCTATTGTTAACAGTAATAATAGTTACTTTGCGAGCCAATCTCATGGTTTTGGGAGCCTAAGGCACATTTTAACTGCTTTGTATTGGAAACAGGACGTTACAGATTCTGGAGCCAATTCTTCATTGCCTTCCCTGCCACGTAGGCCTTTTTTAAACATTTGGATTCAGAAAAGTTAAGGAATAGAAAGCTGTGGGTTTCCCTACTTGTCCAGTCACTGCTGTCCTCATGCCTGGGTGCTGGGTTAAGGATCTTTTGTCACTGCTTGGCCAAACAGGGGATGACAGCTACTTGCTGCTCATGCTCGGGCTCTGTTGGAAGTGGGGTTTCCAGACAGACCCACCTGGTGTTTGCCACTGCAGAGCTGGCAGGTTTCTCTGGGTGTCATCCTCTCAGAGAAGGATGTGGGGGGGTAAGAGGGTGGATTTCCTCCTGTCACTACTGGTTGAGGGCCTCATGTTTCCTGTTTTGTAATCTCTACATCAATACTTCATGTTATCTGCTTTATAAATCAGCAGCTTGTTGCAGGCAGCACGAGGGGGCTCACGATGGGGTATGAATGTACCTGTGCCTATGCCAGAACAGAGTTTTTCCTCAGGCTGATTTACTGCTACTATGGGTTGGGTGGCTAAGGTGTTGTTTTGTTTACCTCAAGGACATTAAAACAAGAGGCAGTTTGATTTTTCTGGTAGTGAATTCTCTATGACCACTAATAATAATAAAATTGGTGTGTAGTGTTGATACTTTTTATCAGAAGCTTCCAGCATACTTTGAAAGGAAGCTCGAGCTCATAACGATTTTACAGGAAGGGAAAGTGAGGAACAGAAAGAAAAGTGACCTGGCCAACACCATCACCCCAGACAGAGACTTGATGGAAGTCTCCAGAGAAAAAAGGCATCAGTAAAGGTCATGTGACAGTAGGGACTGAAGAATAAGAGGGGAAGAATAAGAGTGTTTATCTGTGCTGAAGAGAGGCAGTGATTTCTCCAGAACCTTCTCACAACTCTTTGAAAAGATTTGGTACTAATGAGCTCTGGGTGCTATCAACTTTGTCTAAATGCCAAGAATTAAAAGGCCAATAAAATAAAAAATGGCAGTGATGTAAAAGGCAAGGCTGAAACCCAAAATCTGATTACTAACTGGAATATCTGTGACTGCACAGAGGGGTAGCAAAGGCTCCTTGCCAAACAAGGACTTACATCCTATTGTTGTACATCATCCCCTTGGACAGTAAAGGAATTAAGGCCTTTGGGGAGGAGTAATAGTCAGGCATTTTCAATGGAAACAGAACATCTGGAGCTGAGAAGTGGATAAATAATTAGGGTGAAACTTCAGGTGACTTCATCTGGGACTTCGGTAACGTTAACAAGAACTGTTCTATCATAACACATACAGATCAAATTTAAAGAGACTTCCAGAAGCTCTGCATTGTGTATGATCAACTCTACTTCTGCCATTGCCCCATTGTTCAACTCCTGCAAGGGTGTATATAACATTATTAGACCAGGACCTCTTAAACGATTCCATTATGTGTCTGTCTCATTGATTTTCATCTTCTATTTGCAATTGCCTGAAATCTCTGCAGCATCTAACAATAATTACTTACGGTGAAAAGTTAGATACAAATTCTGTAATGGATAAGAGTTATCTTTTAAACAGTTTAAGGGCTGGAAATAAGGAAGACAGCAATCCCTCTGGACAGAACTGATCCTGTCTGCATTTAGACATAGTCATCATAATGTAGTCACTGTGGATGATTTACCTGGTCAATAAAATAGATAGGACCTTCAAAATCCATCACCAAAGATCTTGATCTGTGCCCCAGCAAAGGTACTTACCCTTCCCTGCTGACTACCAGAGGAGTGCAGGGCAACGAAATCCACAGTTTATGGACATAAAACAAGAAAAATGGACACAGACTCAAGTAACCTGGGAATTGCTGTCTTATTGCAAATCCTATGGGAGAGGAGTATCTTCATTTGTATCCTAGTTTATAGATGTGTCTTCATCTGTTTTGTCAAGGCAAATGGAAGAACAAGAAAGATCTGGAAGCAGTCTCAGAAACTCTGTTTAGTCAAGCTGGGGACTGTACTTACCTTCAACATATCCCCAGCCTGGAAGCTCAGCTCATCTTCTCCAGAAGCAGTGAAATCAAACTTGGCAATGGCTTCCATACTGTGTCTTGGGGGCAGAGCAAAGCTGGAAGAAGTAAAGTCAGATACTTGTCAGCATCTGTGAGCTCTTGGGATTGTAGAGTCCAGCCTCTGGAAAGCTGACAGGCAGTGCAGTGATTTGTATATGGGGAAGCACACACCAACTACGGGCAGCCACTGGTTACTAGACAGGGAAAGATATTAGCAGGTAGAAGAGGGGGCATGGTTATAATTAGCTGAAGTCAGAAGTACGAATAACCAATAGTATATGCTTATTCCAACAGATCTCTTTCTCTAAAGCACTCGCAATCTCATGGGAAAAACATGTATAGACCAACTCTGTCACAGTTCCCAGTAAAGCAAGTGACTCTGTCCTGCAACAGAAAAATGCATTTGCTCCCTGCAGTGAATTACTCTTTACCTCAAGAGTGAGTCAAACTGCGGAGAAAACAAACAGGGCTGCAATAAACATATATTTTTTTCTTGGACAAGGGCCACAATATAGAAGGTTGAAGGAGTCTTTGTGATGGATTAACATGGGTGACCACAACTTTCAGGTAGGAAAAGACTGTTTGCAGAAAGGCTGTATTCCCTATTTTGAAGCAGGCAGAGAGTTAGCCTACCTCAGTGTTAGTAACCCAGGAGCCTGAAATGTATCAGACAGCCTGCAAACCAAAGCCTGCTTTTCAGCACCAGAGCAATGTGGCAGGGGAAGTGGCAAGATGAGCTTTGCTCCTTCACCACTTCCTGCTCACAAAACTTGGATGTACCCCAGCAGGAGCATTTTTATAATCAAGAGCTACAGATTTCCCATGGCTGGGTCATTTACCCCACATCCCAGTGGTGAGGCTGCCAGTGACAAGCTAAGAAATAGGACGAGTTCTAAGCTAGGTTTGTCTGGGAACAAAGATCCTGAAGCCACAGGTTCCACTACCTAATCTCAATTCTCACAAAAACACCCAGTCTTTATGGCTTGAGAGGAAGTGCCAACTTACCTGATCCAAAACATTTTTAACCAGAAAACTCTAGAAAGACACTGTACAAACCAACAAACAACCCTAACTAGGGTTAGATATTTCTTATCTATTAGAACTGACACAAGATCCCCAAAATAGAAAGTGTTGATACTGAGCAAGCTCCAGAATTTTGCCACTTTAAAATCAAAAGGCTGTTATAACCCTCCTTCTTGGCAATACATGTTGTAATATTCCTCCTTTGACACACAACTCGGGGATTTAACTGCCTGGGAAACAAGGATCCAGGGCCCCGCTCTGATACAGCTCAACTTAAACTGCTGAGAATGAGCTGGGAGAAAGCCTGCAAGGCAAAAGCTCTAGGACTGCACCAGCACTAGCCCAGGGATTCCAGAGGAAAAACACCAACACGGGAGGATATAAAATGTCAGAGAAAAAAACAAAGCCATAGTTTAGTTGGGATAGTCATTCTAGTTGAGTACCTGTCACAGATCATTTGGGTCACTGAGTTGAGTTGTCAGTGCCATCCGTCCTGACCTAGCTGGCAGCAAATGGCAACCATGGAGTTGGCTCTTCATTTCTGATTGATGCCTGCAAAGAATCTTTGGCTGCCTTTACACAGGTGAGAAGTATGATAATTTGTAGCTTAATATTTCATTAAATCCTAACTAGGTTCTGTGTCTGTTAACTGTATAAAGCAGTTATTTATTGGCTAAATTGTTATTTCCTGCTTGCTCAGTCCCTTTGCACTTGACTAAATATCCCTGAATAAAGTGATCCACAAGAGGGGTCATAACATCACTGGATATTAGTTCTGAGATTTGTTACGACCACTTCTAACTAAAATAAAGATGTTTATATGCTTCCTAGTGGATTCTGTTAGCACTCTCTTTTTTGGTGCTTATAGAATTTATATCCATGTGACTGATGAGAGCTATAAAGCACCAAGGAAAAAATTTTGGCAGTCCACAGAAGAGTTCTGCTTATTCAGCATGAATCTGTTCTGGAGCAATTGGGGTTGCTTCAGAGCCAGGGCCTCCCCTGTAGGTCTGAGTGCACAGCTTGGCTGAGCTCTGCTATTCCAGCCTGCTGCCTTAGGCTTTCAATGCACATCACTGCTGAACAGAAACACCCTAAAGCACATTGATGCTTTATTCTCAGGCTTCAGATTTCCACCTATTCCAAACATTTTCACTTCCTATTCTCTCTGTTAACCTATTAATGCTCTTTAATTCTTACTTTTGATACCTTTTGCAGGTTAGGGTCACCCTCTGTCTCCCTCTTACTCCAAGATATTGGTGTTACCTTGCAGATGCAGCTCGGGCCTGATTTGAGAATTCTTGCATAGACATTTTTGTAGCTTCAGTTTGTAACCCCCACAGGCAGTGTCAGCCCTGTTGTGTGCTAACAGAGCATAGGGGTATTAAATTGGAGGGGAAATAACCCTTAAGGGAATTGGTTAAACAATTATACTTTTTCATGGAAGATATCTGAAGAAAAAGACTAAAGGAGAATTACTTTAATAAGGATTGGTTTTCAGTGTTTTATCTTGGAGTGGTGGCCTGCTGCAGAGAGATCAGAGCCAAGAGTGCAGATGGATCCTGGAACTCCTGAATGCAGACCATTAATCCCAGCTTGAGGAAAAGAACACACTTAAAACCAATAAACTATTTAAATACAAATCCTGTCTTTGATTCTGTTCTTTAGGTACAGAAGAAATAGTGGGGGTTCTCTCTACAGGGGGCAAGAGAGTAGAAAACCTTTAATTTTTCAATAGCCCAAATGTTAAAGGTGCTATTGGAATGTGGCCCCCTCCAAAGGGGAAGAGTTTGTGAAACAGTTAGAATCTTCCCTCTCACTTCCTTTTCAATTTCAGCAATTCCAGCCTCAGGGAGAGACCAGGAGACAGATACCTCTTCAAACAATCTAACACATGGATTAAATGTGTCTTTCATTGCCAGCGGCTGGATTTAGAAGTGGCTCAAACACCATCCACAGTGTTGGCTGTGTTGATAAATCAGCAATGCAGTAATGCTCTGGTCTTAAGCCCTTTCCTCACCAACTACTAAAGCAACACTAGCCAATAATCCTGTCTTTGAACTCCAGCCTATCACTTTTCAGCACTTGAACTTCAAACCAGTTCTGTTTTTCTGATCCTGTCCCTCCCTGCACCTGTAACTTGAGAATCCCCACTCCACATGGGTCAGTGCTGGGCCCTCATGAAAGTTCCCCTGCCAGGAGCCCATTATTCCCCCCTCTGCATGTGTGTGACTCTGAGCACCACCCCACAATACAGACAGGAAATTTTTCACTAATATCATAACTTACATTTCTCAAGCACCTTTTATCCCAAATTCTGCTTTTAACTGTGTAGTGCAACTCCTTTAAGCTTTTGATAGCCAAGGACAATTTTAGACTGTGCATAATGTTCTCTGGGAAAATCACCTTTGTGGAGAGTTTACACAATGTTCAAAGAGGGATTTTTCAGTTCCCAGCGTAAGCTGACAAGTACCCTTCATTTTGTGCTGGCTTTCTGCATGCAGGTGAATTTTCTCTGTGGTTCACCTTTGTAACAGGGCAGATCCAAGAGGCGTAAAACTACAGCAGTTCTGTGGGACTAGTGCAATGCAACAGAAGGCTCACAAAATGAAAAGTGAAAAGCAGCCTGGCTTTCAGAGCACAAGGCAGGCATTTCGGTTTTGCAGAACACCATTCCCTGAGCAAGAACATCAATGCCTCTGTTGATGGAAAGTGCCAAGGCCTAAAACATCTCAGCAAGCAATACAGCCTGACAGCAGAGTCCCAAAGAGTTTAACACTGCTACCCTACACCATGCTGGTTCCAAATTCAGCAGTAACAATGCCAGGGAAGGTCATCACCTATGAAGAGCTCATCACTCGGGGACTGCCCAGCCTCAGCCTTCCCCAGCCTCACCTACTTAAATCAGAAGGAGAGCAAAATTACAACAACTCACTTGCTTAATGGAACTATATGAAAAACATTTATATTTGTATGCCTGTAGCATAAACAATTGCACACATCTCCAGTCTGAAGCTTCATCCAGTGAGGTTTTACACCAAGATATACAGCACGAGCTTCTGTGTCTTTGTTCAGCTCTGCAAGAACAACCTATTGGACTGATGAGCAACCAGGGACAGGATTCAACCCTGAACATCTGTACAGAAACTCCAGATGACATTTCGGCAGAAACAATGGAGAAGGGACCTGTAATCTAGGAGAGCTGTGGCAGATAACAGCTTTGTTTTCACCAGCTAAGCCACATACAAGTGGCATGGGGATATTTAGCTCCAAAAACACAAACCTCTCGCTACAGAGTTAACGGCGCAGCTTCACTGACTGTCAGTGATAAGGGTAAAATTTATAAGGGAGAACAAGACACTAAAACACTCAGACATGATGCATTTAAGTCTTGGCTATTCTGCCACCCAGAGCAATGCATAGCATTTTGGCTGAGCCCGTGTGCAAACAACATAAGCCTCCTAGGAAATGGATTCACAGAACGAACAAACTTTCAGGACTCTATAACCAATAGAAGTTGGTAAGAAATGCCCCAAGCTAGGACGGTGCTTAATCTCCCTAGGGAACCCAGGTCTTCTGTGCCACTTCCCATTATTATTAGAGTTGTGCAGCAACATGGGAAGCTGGAGCAACAACGGGCTCAAAGAGAGGAGCATATGACACAGCACTGCATGATACTGTGACGGTACAAAATCCCAAATCTTTGCCGTGCTGGAAGGGTTGGTGTGGGGGGACTGGGATGGTGGGGAAACACCTCCTCCTGTTTGCCCACCTCCTCTCTCAGATGGAGGGAGGTCAGCTGGTCAGATTTGGCAGAAGCAGAGGGATTTGTCCTGCAAAAGCACTGCCCTGTTGTGAAAGCTGATAAACAAGATGGCCTTGGGATGCCGTGCTCGGCCCTTACTGCGCAGCACTTCACCTTTCCTTCCAAACCCCTCCGTGCCTCCCTTGCACCTTGTCCCACCCAGCTCCCCCTGCCCCAGCCCTGGAGCCACGCTCAGCCCTACCTTGGAGCAGTTCTCTCTCTGCTGGCGCTTTGCTCCAAAGCAGGAGGTGTTACCACCTAAGGCAAGGAAGAGAGGAGAGCCCAGGCTCCTCCCTGCAGCGCCAGGGTGACACACTGGTCACGGCCCCACGTGTGTGACAGGGACACTCCAGAGTGGGCATGGGGACACGGGAACGGAGCTGTGCCTGTCGCAGCACGGAGCGGCGCATGGACAGTCCCCAGTCCCTAATGCCAGAAATATTTGGGACCCTGCATATTTAAAATGGTGGTGCCATTTCAAAAGGAGCTGCCCCTGGCTGCTGCTTCAACCCAGGGTGGTTTAACAGATGAATAAAGGAGGGTCCCTCAAAAAGTGCAAGTTCTACCCAAATAAGGAAAAGAGAAATGAACACAGATCTGCTAAGTTAACTGAGAAACCATAAGTCCGTTGAAAAGCATATCTTGAGGAACAAGTAGCTAAAGACATAAAAACGTAATAAAATCATTTTCAAAGACAACAGAAGCAGGAAGCCTGCCAGAGTGTGTCTGTAGGGCTGACAGATGATTGAAATGTAAAAAGAATGCTCAAAGACGATAAGGATGAAGCACAAAAGCTAAATGAATTCTCTGCATCCATGCATATTCCACAGGGATACAAGGAGGACCCCACACTGGAGTTTTCTTTGCAGAAGAAAGCCAGGAGAAGTATTTCAAAATGAAGAACTGGAATAAAAGATTCTAGGAAAAAACAGTAAATGAACAAGAGTAAATTCAAGGATTTGATATTTTAGAAATCTTGACTGAAATCCAAAGTGAACGTGAAATAATAAAGGCTGAGCAATTAACTGTGGCATACAATGCTTGACTTAACTAAGTCTTGGAACTAGGAAAAAAGCAGCAGACACAGTGCCAGTGTTTGAGATGTGTTTTGAGGGGATGCAAGGTGCAGGTCTGGCTTCTGTGTGCCTGAAATGGGTAAAAAGATTAATTACGAAAAGAATTGCTGGCCCCAAGAGAGAAATAACATACCAATTCCTCCTCCCATAGCTTTTGTAGAAGAAAGTAATGTGGCACAAATCTGAGTTCTTTGAAGGAGCTGATGAACGTGTGGATACATGGTGAACAGGTGATCACTTGATATAAAACCTGTATTTCTACATAATTTTTGATGAAATCTCTCACCAAAGACTCTTTAAAAAGCCTTCTAAGTTCTCAAGAAGTAGGAGGAAAAGTCCTATAGAGGATTAACACCTGATTAAAAGTTAGGAGACAATTTGAATGCGCTGTTCAAAATATTAATAAATTATCTGGAAAACACGAAGTGACAAAACTTACTGATGAGAAAAAAAATCCAGGGTTATACTAATTAAATCTGATCACAAAGCCTTGCTGATGGTTTTAAAAATACTGTCAAAGTGCAAGGTGAATCTCAGTGCTGATGGCTGCAAAAGCAATGGACATGGGACAAAACAAACGTAACTATGTGAACACAGGAATGAGCTCAAATTAGCAATTACCACTCAGGAAAGATACCTTTGAGATGCTGTTTGAGTTCTACCAAAGTGTCATCTGAGTGGAAGTCAAAAAGGCAGGTTAGGAAGCATCTGGAAAGTGATAGAAAACAAACCAGAAAGAAGCATGATGTCACTGTACAAGTCCCTGGGGCTTGAAATTTGTCACTTGAATACAGCAGCTAGTTCACGTCCGTCCATCTCAAACACAGAGACAGCAGCATTAAAAAGAGCAGACAGAAAGCAACTCAAGATGACCGAAGGAATGGGAAGTTTCTGGACAAGGAAGGACCAAAGCAAAGACTGGGATCCTTCACCCTTAAAAAAAGTTGTCAGAGGGATAAATGCAAAACAATGTTGGAAATAATGAGAATCATGGAAAAGGTAAGGAGAAAATTTTTATCCATCTTTTCTCATAAGTACTAGAAGTTCATTCCAAGAGTGTCAGAATCTGGGAGGCCACAGGAAAAGAAGCTGTGACGTGTACTTGTCCCGTTCTCACTCTCCTTCCCCAAACAGCTGCTGCTGGATGCAGCATCATGGACTGTGAGTAACTTTAACCTGACCCAATTAATCCTTAGGAGCTGTGGCACTTGGCCAAAAACCACCACAATCTGCTAGTCCAAGAGGACTGGTCCAGCAGCAGGCTGGTGGGTGGTAGACCCTACACACACATCACCTTTTGGGGAGGCAGTAATCTCGCTGAAATATCTGTAAGTTAAAACAGGGGTAGTGTGAATATTATGAAGCACTCTGATCAGTTGGGGTAGATACAATGAAAACTCCTCTGAACGGGAAATTCTTGAATATGTTTGCTGAAAAATTATACAGGTTCAGAAGGCAGGGGGCTAAAAGAAGAGTACAGCAGTTAACTCTTGCCATGTTGTGAAAAGTTTTATCTGTGGCTATCAATACATGAGAAATATAAATTTCTGTACAGGAAGGTGGAACACCAATCCTCACAGTCGTCTTGGGTTTAAGGTCTGTGCTTTTTTGTGCTCTGTGAATGGCATGACAGATTGCATTACGTTACACACTGGAACGACCTAATTTCTCTGCTTTCTACCATGATGTGATCTAATGGGCCCC